TTGAGGTTTGCTTTTGTTTCTTGTGCTTTTGGAGTCATATCCAAAAGATCATTGCCAAGACCAATATCAAGGAGCTTTTTCCCTATGTTTTCTTTTAAGAGTTTTATGGTTTCAGGTCTTATATTTAAGTCTTTAATCCATTTCAAGTTAATTTTTGTGAGTAGTGTAAGACAGGAGTCCAATTTCATGTTTCCACATTTAATTTCATTTAAAAAGAATAGTAGCAGGATTGCTCGTGTATCACATATGTGGAAACTACTTTAGAGAGAAACCAAGATATGCAGGACTAGTTAGCTGATTGATCGTTTAACTGGCTGATTACTATGAATGTTTCTCAGTCCTATAGCAAGATCGAGGCCAATTAGGAACATTTGTTCCAAAACTGACTCTGTTACTATATGTGTCCAAAAGAAAAACACATTTTAAAATTATCCCCTAAACAGATCTACCTGTAAAATAAACATAGCTTACCTGCTACTCTTGGTATAACAGAGAGGATATAAACATGTTTTCTTTAATGGAAAATTTTTGCACATATATTAAATAGTCAAATTCTCACCTAAATATAATATTTTCCTATTATTATCTTCTAGGCATGACTTCTATAGACATTATGCCTAGTTTGTAATAGCTGTTAGGAAGAAGGGCATATTACCAACTTCTACAAAACTGAAGAGCCAAGGCAATCATCTCTAACACCAAGAGCTAGTAATTCCATACCGCAGATCAACTCATTCAGTTACTAACAGGTTCATTTTGAAAACTGCTTTATCTTGAAGAATTCAGCTGAGAAATTTGTTGTTAAAATTTAAATATTCTATGGGAACTTTGTGGAGACTTTTTTATGGCCGAAGTGGGCATTTGGAAACATTTTCCAGATTAAAATTAGAAGGGCCATGCTCCATGATGTCAAATGAAGAGGTCCCGGGTAACCATTTGTTCATGGATTGCAGCAGATTCCACTTTCCCTTCCAAGGCAAATCATGTCACTGCCCTCGGGTCTCTTCTCAACCCATCTTCCTGATGAGGTAAGGTTTCTTCCCATCAAGCTTCTCGAATTTCACGAGAGGGTGTCAACATTATCCAAAGAGCAGCAGAACACTAAAGCCATAATAAGTGTGACAGAACATTTCCAGTCCAAGTGCTTGTCAAAAAGTATAACTTCAAACTCAGTGACACTCAGAACTTATCAAAATTTTGGTCAAGGGAAATAATATTTCTGGAAAATTGCCTGAGGAACAAGTAGTCCATCCACTGCTCTAACATTCAAAACAAGTTATCCTCAGACTGAACCACACCACTACAGAGCTATATATATAGGGCCTTCTCTTTTCTGTACCCTCTTCCCCCAAGGAAAAATTTCCAACTGCTTTTACTGAGTCATACTGGTATTACACCACCACACACACTGAAGAATGTTACTACAGGGATACTGTTGAAAACATTATTCACAACATACCCTATGTCATCCTAAAAATGACCTACAGATAAAAAATTACTCTCAACAATTAATAATACATTGCTTCCTTTGAAAAATTGGTTTGTTTAATCTTACAGATGTGTGAACTGTGTGTCTTGATTGCTTTCTTCTTTTATTGATTGCCAGAAAGTTCAGAGGCAAATATTGGTACCATTCCCCCAGGACCTTACAGTACAATTCTGCATTTTAATTTTACCCCTAGCTTTACCCTATTTACCCTTTACCTTTATTTTTATTGTTGTTGTACTTTCCTTGATTAGTTACTTTCATCTGTTGTAGAGCATTTTAGCAATCCTTTTTTTTTTTTTGGAAGGATGATTCTATTAAAAATAGTTTAATTCACTTAACTAAGCACTTGACATAGCATTTTCTTAGGCACCATGATACCTTTTGTATGACTTATCCTATAATCCAAGTACCTTAACTGGGATCTGAACATTTGATTTAAGCGGAGGCAAACATTCATCGATAACAAGCACGGATTAGAAAGTCTCCAAGGATTTTCAAGATCATCAAGGAGGCTACACTGAAAATTTTTGAATCCTGGCTATTTTTTTTCCTTAAAATAAACAAAAGCTGGTAAAGAGCCATTATTTCCCTCAATAAATTAAGTACATTTTTATTTAATTATACATTTATAAATATAAGTTACATCTTATTCCACAATGACTGAGGGAAAGTTTCAGAGACAAACTAAAGCTTTGATAAAATGTTCTCAAGATTGAATTTGGGACTAGGATAAGGAGAAATTACTAAGTTATTTCCTTGATATTAAGAGGGCTTCAAAGAGAACCATGCTCTTCCTCATCAATAACAAACATGCGTTTAGTATTTACAACACTGAAGTCTCTGTTCCCATTCTCGAGAGGCTTGAAAGTCTCATTCCATTTCCTATATAATATCACAGAAGAGGTAAATTTTACTAGCTGTTTTTCAGCTTTCTTCATCTCTACTTTTCTTTTTACTGCATGTCTAAGTCTGAATGCTCTCTTGCGTTTCTTTATATCCAACATACTTGAGCTAACTATCCCATATTTCAGGATTAGTGAGCTAAATTTACAAGGTTAACTGAGATTCTTTGCAAATTCACATGCTAAAATGAAGCAAAATCAGTTTTACTTCAAGATTCTCATTAACGTGTTACTTATTTTACGTAAAATAAGACAATAACTTTGAGAACTACCACTTTCCATAGCATGGTCACATCAGTATGGATCATCACTGAGCATGTCTCCTTTTTTGCCTCCATAGATCTTCATCTCCATGGTAGTAATGCAGCCAGTAATAACACAAAGTGCAATGAGGGCACCACCACCATGCCTGTCATGACATGGAATCCATTACCAAAGCTGATCATGAAATCCATTACCTCCTTGTTCAGGGCTCTCTTCACTAGCAGTGACTGATGGAGGTCACTTTCATCAACAAACTCATGATGCCAGGAATTCAAGAGCCTCCCTCATCAAGACACTAGGAACAAGAGCAGCCTAGCAGTGGTTTTGTCTTTTGACATTGTGTGAGAAACTCATGCCTGGAGCACTACTTGACAGCCACAGATACTTGTAATCAAATTTCTCCCTTCAACTTCTCTGAAATGTTCAGCCTATATAGCCTCATTAGTCCCTCTCCACCAAAGAAACTCCTGCTTTCTGCTGAAACTCAAAGAACAGTGACCACCAGAATTTGCTTGCATGGAAGTTTCAACCGAAGCACCAAGGTACTACAGATTTCAGTTACCACAGTGTGCTGTCAAACAGAACAAAATGTTGATTTTCAAAGCAGGCAGCATAGAATCAATCTGAAGACTGACCCTCAGTGAAGATTTAAAAGGATAAGCAGAGAGAGAGAATTTGTGAAGAAATTTCTTTGGAGAGAACTGTTCCCTTACTACAATTCTCAAGCCCCACTTTATCCTCCCATTACCAAGAGGCAGGGCTAGCATGAGTTCTCCTCTTCATCTCAAGCCAAGATAGTGGCTTCACTTTATCCATATTAGCCAAAAACTGAAGACAATCTAGGTGATCATCAGCAGAAGAATGGGGAAAAAACTGTGCTATAGTCATAAAAGAGAATACTACTCAGCAATAAAAAGGAAATACTGATACATATAACAATGTAGTTGAGTCTCAAAAACATTTTAAGTGATAAAATCCACACACAATAGAATAAATACTAAACAATTTCATTTATCACAACCTCTAGAACATTAAATCTGATCTACAGTGGAAAAACAAAACAAAAAAGTGGTTGGTTCTGGTGGGTGAGGGGTGTGGGGTTTAACATTGAAGAAGTATGGAAGAACTTTCTGAGACAACGTCTATCTCTTGATAGAGTTTGGATTACACAGGTGTAAGCATTTCTCAAAACTCAATAAAAATACACTTGATATGTACATTTCATTGCACGTAAGTTTTACATCTAAAAAATATAAACATATATTGAACTCTAGTTAATAATAGGCATATTGAAGTGTTCACAAGAAAATATACAGATGTCTGCAATTTATTTTGAAATGTATCAAAAATTAGATGGATTGGTAGATACATAAAGAGATGAATAAATGGATATATATGTAATAAAATGAGCATAGTAAAATGTAATGGTAGATGGTAGGCATATGGATGTTCACTGGAAGTTTTTTCAACTTCACAGCATATTTGAAAATTGTCATAATAAACTACTGAGGGAAAATACGTTGGTGTCTTCAATATGTCTCTTGTAGAACCTCATACCAGTCTCCCGGAATTAGACAAGCACAATGGACTAGTGCCTGTCTCTGGCCTGCAAAATCAGAGGGCAAGAGAGCCAGGCTGGCCAGATATTTTGGCAGTAGAGCAAAGGTTGCTGCTGTGTTTGATTTGCCCAACCAGGCAAGGACAAAGGATGTGTAAGCATTTCCTGTGGACCAGGTAAGGTTCTACAGGAAAGCAACTAGCTTGGAGCCACTGTGACTCCTGCCCAAGATGACTATATGGGAGGGCAAAGGCTAGAGGAACAGAGGATATTATCCACAACAGGAGATTTAGAGTCACAGGGGCCCAGCAAAACAGCCTCTGAAAATCCCACACAGGTATTCATGACAGAAAGTATCCACTTGCCAGACCCAGAGAACATAGTCATCTTATACTAGTACTGGTCAAGGAAGACCATCTTCCACCTTTTCACTGATTTCTGATCCACTGCAACTCTACAATGGTCAGTAACAGCAGCTTGCTCAGGGGAGGTGGTAAGCAAACAATGTCATCCCACTCTTTTCCTCCTGAAGCACATAACCAGCCTGACCATGCCAGACCTGAAGAAGTTGGCATGGATAATGGGGAAGGAGGGTAGATATGACTTATCTTAGAATAAAATCAGAAGTACTATTTAACATGTTAGACTGGGCATTCTAACTTCTTGATCAAAATGCTGTCTTTTAATTTAAAGAGACTATAGGACTCTCAGTTGTCCAGGAGTACCAGAAAAGCTATGGATCATAGTGGCAGGGAAAATAAAATCCCACACTAAATAAATTTTAAAGGACAATAGATGTAGTGGATATTTTTCATGTCCTACCCAGATCCCCTCCTTCAGGTCACTGCACCCACCGTGCTGTCAGTGTCGGCTGTTTATGGCTCACAGCAGCCTCCTTCTCCAGAGAACTGCCTTCAGCAGAACAGAAGCCACCTCACCCAGATGTCATCACTGTCCATGACTACCTTCCAGTAGAAAGTGGCCAATGACAGACTCAGAGTACAAAAGGTGGGATTTCAAGGTGGAGCTCAGTTCCATGGGGCACCATGTGCACCATGACCCCCATGGGACAAGGCTGCTGTTAAGCTTCAGGCAAGCCCTCAAGCCCACATCCTGCCTTAGTTGTCTTCCCCTGTCCTATCGTGCTTCCTTATTCCCCTTCTCCTAAAGTTACCCTCAATAAGTATCTTGCACTTGCACATGAATCTGCAACTCAGGCTCTGCTTCTAGAGACCCCTACCTGAGACAAAAATAAAGCTGAATTTTTATTATATTGTGCCCATTCTAGAACAAACAGCTTGACATGAATGCACAGACAAACTCTCATCTGTTGGCTGATCTTCCACAGTCTCAGCGCCCTGTTTATTACGGCTTCCCCAGCTCTCCCCCATCCATCAGGTAAGTGTGCACAAGCTTTCCTCAGTCCAGCCTTTCTTCATTGTCTCTGCATCCTCATTTGCCCTCAGACTGTTCTGCACTTAAAAACAAATTCATTTTTTCATTTTTCTCTTCATAGAAAGTTCAATTGTAAAATTTTAACATATTTGTCTTTTTTAAGGGGAAAAAAAAAAACCCTATATCCTTCATGTATAGCAATTTTACATAAATACTGCACTGAGGGTTAAATGTGGGTCCCAGACCTCTTTGTTGTAATAGTATGATCTCCAGCTAGTGGACAAACCCTGGTCATGGCGGGCACTGTAGTGGAGCCAGGACAGACAGATGGGGCAAGTGCTGCTTCCAATACATTTCTCAGATGAACCTGGGAAAAAATCATTCATAATGTTAAATAAAAACAAGAAACAATATTGAGGGCATGCAGCCACCTAGGAATCAGGCCATCAGAAAATGTGACCCTTGATGAGTGCATTGACCATCAAAGAAGAGGGCCAGTTCCGTGGAAGTTACAAAACAGAGCTAAAGTACGGTTTAATTATAGTTAATCTGGAGAATTTTTTTTCACTATACTTTCAATGATTGAGGTTAAAAGCTAAGCTAAACATTATAAAACAGCTATGCTATAAACATCACAGCCCTTTACCTCAGGAATCTATTTATGTCCCTCGGAATGGGGTCAAAATTCTGGAAACCACAGTCACATCTTTTTGGTGAAAAATTTGTACTGGAAATTGTCAGGTTGGACTTAACACATAAAGGGAGGAAATGCGAGCTGCATGGGGGGCGGGGCACAGTGAGGTAACAGAGAAATAATTACACAGGGTTTGGGGCCATGCAAAAGGAGAACTGGGAGATAAATACTCAGCTATCAAGAGAGGAAATGTACTCAGGACCTATCCTCCGTTCTCACTGTAAACCTTGAATATGTTACACATCATCAAAATACTACAGGAAACCCTAAATTCAAGCCAGAAATGTCAGATATTTATAGCAATTTCCAGGATAATCTTTAACACATTCCCCGCTAGGAATTTAAGGATCGAGTTTCTATAACTGGTTCAAGTGTCTCCCAGAGGTTCTGGACCCCGGTTTCCTCAAGTATTTAGAGGAAAAATTTATTCTTTAGTTTGCCATGTTTTGTTTCGTTTTCCAAGTCTGGTCCTTGGAGCTTTGGTATCTAAATCAACTGGGGAGCTTATTAAAAAATGCACAATCCAGGGACCAGCCCCAAGGCCTAGTGGTTAAGTTCAGCGTCCTCCTCTTTGGCAGCCTGGGTTCGGTTCCTGGGCACAGACCTACACTACTCATTGGTGGTCATGCTGTGGTGGCAATCGACATACAAAACAGAGCAAGACTAGCACAGATGTTAGCTCAGGGCAAATCTTCCTCAAGCAAAAAGAGGAAGATTGGCTACAGATGTTAGCTCAGGACGAATCTTCCTCAGCAAAAAAAAAAATGCACATTCCAGGCTCAACCAAGATCTAATGCTTCAGAATTCTGAACTTGGGGCCTGGGGATTTCATTCATTCATAACAAGCTTTCCAAGTGTATCTGAGGCACACTAAATTGATGCATTACTGAGATAAAGAAGAACTGAAGACTAACGCTTCTCCTCTGTTTGACCCCGAAGTCAAGAAGGCAAGAGTAGGGACTCAAATCTCCCTAGTCTATGTGCCATTTCCAGCTCCCAGTGATGCAATGTTATAAGATATCCAATATTCCTGGAGAAGTCCACCAAGAGTAGAATAGACCACTGTTCCTCTAGATGCCAACTCATAATAATGATTTTTTAGTGTTTTCTGGAGGCAGCTAAAGTTTTGCACACTTTCTAAGAAGGAAAACTTCTCCTCAGGAAATTATTAAACATCTTCTGTCTAGAATTTCACTTGGAAATATTCATGCTACTTCACTTCTGGAAACTCTTTCACTTCTCTTCCATTGTTCTCTGAGTCAAGGCCTGGATAAACTAAGTCTTAATTGTACAACTCTTTAGTAAGAATTTATTAAGCACCTACCATGTGCCAGAAATGGTGCTAACTACTATAAATACAAAAATGAGGAGAAAGAGCCCATGCTGTCTGGGACTCAAAGACTAATAGGAAGAAAAGGCAAGTAAACTGATGATTATAGCTCAGTCTGATCACCCTCAACAGACGGCTAAGAGATTCCAGAAAGATGGTATCTAAGTCAACTCAGGAATTTCAGGAAAAGTTTCTTAGGAAATTCCCTGTCTGTGAATAATGTAGAAGCACAAAAAAGAATTTACCTCTTAGACATGTACGAGTGCAGATGGCCAGAGGACTTATCAACATATTCACCCCATATGAAGAGGGAAATTTATGCAAATCAGATGTCAAGAGTACCCCACAGTTCTCTAAAGTAGCACACAAAAAAGGCTCAATGAAGCTCTGGTGTTCCAGTTACTGTGCTGTATAACAAATCACCCCAAAAGAGCGTGGCTTAAAACAAATAATCACTCATTCTCTCATAGTTTCTGTGGGCAAGAAAGTCTTATCTTTGCTCCACGATCTATCTGGGGTCTCAGTCAGAGGACAGAAAGGCTAGGGCTGGAATCATTTGAAGGCTCATTCACTCACGTGTGGCAACTGATGTTATTGTCAACTGGGGACCTCACAATGCAGGTCTCTCTATATGGTTACTCTACATGGTTAGTCTGGGTTTCCTCATAGGATGGCGGCTGGGTTCCAAAGACAAGCATCCCAAGAAGAAAGAGCCAGGCAGACACCGTGCTCTTTTTATGACCCAGCTTTGGAAGTCCACAGCATCACGTCTGACATACGCTATTTGTCAGAGCAGTCATAAAGTCCTCGCCCAGATTCAAGGAGAAGAAATACAGTCCCCCTTTTTGGTGAAAGGGGTGTTAGTCATATGATAAAAATAACATGTGGCATGGGATATATATATATATATTTGTACAGCCATCTTTGGAAAATATAATATGCCACATCTAGATTACTAATATAAAGAGAATTTTGGAATATCCAGCTCAAGTGTGTTATTCAACATATAGAAATAATAGAACAGAAATTATTAGCAAACAAATCTAAGTGGTAATAAAGTATATTTGTTTGAGACATTGTTAAGTCAACTTTCTATTTCGTCTCCACATCTATAAACACACATGCCATATCTACATATGCAAATATACTCTTTCATGACCCCATCATATAATACCTTTCAGAAATTTGAGCTTTTTAAAACTCTGCGGGAAATGTGCCCAGCATGTTCTAAAACTTGTTGCAATAAAACATAGCGATGATAACCCAGGGTCCAATTTTATAGATCTATGACTAGGAAAATATTGTTACTCCAGGTCTAGCTTCTTGGCCTTCCAGTTCCTTGCCTGATGAACGTGTTGACAAATTGCTCCCTCTGCACTCCACAGAGTCATTAATTGAACTGGTCTGAAGTTTATCATAAAAGGTTCTTAGATAGTTTCTCGAGAGGAGGTCAAAAGCTATGACCACATGAGTAGCCACTGTTCACACTGCCACAGTGTGCTCTGCACTAGACAGGATGATTCATACGTGGCCAGCCTGGATGCTTTGACACCCAAACCAAAATTTGCAAGAATAGAGCACACAGCATTGGCTGCCACTGCACTGTTCCCCTCCATTCTCCCTGAAGGTTTACATTTAATGCCTGCCCGACAGCCTTTCTCTGCCACGCTGCTGTTACAATGACACATGCTTTATGCCTGACTTAGTAAGGGAGGGAAGACAGGCACCACTGAGATGATGGAGAGGGCCCACAGCTTACCTTTAAACTTTCCAGGTGCCTACTGCACCTGAGTAATCACTGATGTGACCTGTGAAGTGTGACCCAGTACTGTGCGTTAAACTTCAACTCTAATCCTAAAGTGTATCTTAGGGGATTTAAAGCCAGAAGTTTCTCATCTAAAGGACATGAAAGCATCATATTGATCCACCAGACAATGTTAAGAAACAACGATATGGCCCACAGATGTTTGCAACCAGTTAAGGATTAAGAAGGGGAAAAATTCCTCCAAAGTCCAATCTCTTTAAATCTTTCAAATTTCCCAGGGTAACTGAGACAATAACCCTTGCTCTCAATAGTTATAATAAAACAAGGACGTCATTTAGACTGAAAGCTAATGTATTTTGGTAGCTCTATGGATGGAGTTTTTTAAGAAGAATAACTGCTTGGAGCATTAGCATTAGAAACTGGACCCCAAAGTGACAGATTTAGGCATAAAGAAAGCTTTTTAAGGAAAATTGTGGCTTTTATAGAGGTCAGATGCCAAAAACATCCATTACTCTCAGCTCTAGCGATTCTTTTAGGCTTAAATATTAAAAAGATTATGAATAAACAGATACAGATTGGCCCCAGAAAATGGTTGTAATGCCTCATTTATAAAACTCTTTGACCTTTACAGGTACTGATTTGAAGCTAACCCCGGAAGTCATCTTGCTGATGGTTAAAATGATTGCTATATGACAGAATGAACCCCCTTCATGTGAAAAGAGTTTGCCAGCCTGTGGGCTGGGGCACAGGTGTCTTCTACAGTCCCACCGCCAAAACCCAGTCCATTCAGTGAGGTTCAGTCATAAAAACAGTGGTAGTCTGTATCTACCCCAGCTTAGATGATCCAGGTAAATGCTCAAAGGTTTAAGGTGGTATTTTTTTTCTCCCCTTGCTGGTCTCCAAGACAGCACCTGGGTATATTAGAAGTATGGCTTGTATGACCTTATGGTAATGTGAGTGGAGGAAGATGAAGTCCTCAAATTTTCAGTGTTCTTTCAGATGGCATGGAAAGAGATCTGGAATAACATCCACTTAACGTTAATTATAGTTCTATAAGGATAGTGATTTTTGGGAAAGATATTTTTGCTCTTGTAGTCTTACTTTTCAACATCGCTTGTTCTTTTCCTAATTTATATTTATTACTGTAAAGAGTTGGTCTTAGCCTCTCCCTGGACTGTGACACTGAGCCAGTGTGAGACTGGCCTTTGGATAGGGGAGGGGGATAGGGGATAGGGAATAGGATATCCCCTTTGGATAGGGGAGGGGCTAACACTCATGAACCACCCCTGGATGGAGGTCATGGTTCTAACAATTTACCTCTGGTTCTGCAGCCTCTTCCCCCTAGAAGACCCTTAGCTCTCTTGGTTCTTTTGCATCCTATTCCTGGGACATTCAGGAATATTCTTGGTTCTTTGCCTTCAAGCATGGAACATGGGGAACTGGGAGCTCTGTCCAGGCTCATCGACTTTTCTGTCTTCTGCCGTCACCTCTGCACCATTGCTCCCTGGCCTTACTGCAAGTAACACTGAGCTGAAGGCTAAATTTCTCACAGGAGCCAAGAGTCTCCCCCTGACTTTTCCCAGGAAAGTGGCTCACCTGATCTTATGTCTTCAGAGGTTCACTACTTCTCTGGATGTTTCTAAAGCCATTCCTTCATGCAAAGATCCATCCTCAAAGGGTCAGGTCAAGGAATTCAACGAGCGCTGATTTTTTCATTCTCACTTAGCCACTGTTTCTCTCCCTGACAATCCACTTGAATAATCAAGCCCATTAGGCTTAGATTTTAGATGTATCCTGAAATTCTTTTCTCAACACCATCTAACTTTCAAAACTCTTGTTTTGCTATGGAGGTATTAAAAGAAATATCAGCATTGAAATTCAAAGCTGATGAATTTAACCTGTAGCCTTTAAAAATCTTTGAGGGAGGTGCCACAGCATCTGCATTATTTTTTTTTAAAGCTCATAAGGCTATTCCAACTCACAGCAGGGCTGACAACCACTGAGCTCAGCCCCTCCTTCCTTGGAGACATAAGCTGCCTGGATCTAGAGGTAGAG